AACAAGCACGTTGGGACTTTGAAAGTGAAGTTCAAAGAAGTCTACCCATACATTAARGGGTGAAATAGAGTAAAAATTGCTTTTATTTTAGAATACTTAACTGAACAAATGGGAAATAAAGCACCCATAAAGATATATGACATAGGCTAGAGAGTGGACACAATAGAATGAAGCGATGAAATACATAAAAGAAACACTCTGAATTGCCTTTTAAAATAGTTGAGAATAAAGAGATGAGCATATATCCAGCAGAGAGCCAATTACTATTTTTATGGACAGGTAAGTACAGTTTATAAGGTTGCTTCTCAGACTGTCTTAAACATTCTTTCAGTACAGCTGTGTTAAAATGAGATTCCAGTTGCAAAAACCACACAGGTGTCCAATTCTTCCACAAGCAATTTGTGTTGCAGCTGAGATTCTTRTAGCTCTGAGTTAGCCCTATGTGTGTGAATGCACAAATGCATCAGCTTTGATGCCACTGAAGTTTAATAGTCTATGTAATCTCACCGTGTTTACCTTTCTGTCTCACAAAACTACTTCTAGGGGATTTTTTTTTCCACCACTATTTATGTCTAGTTCCCAGTTTGTATATTGGTCTCTTTCTCTTTTCTGTTCTTTTGCAGACAAGCCAGTATTGCTTATCTTTAGAAAAACTAGGCTACAGTAAGCCACATTACAACTATGCTTTATAAAGCAATTTACAAACCTTTATAAATATTGTCAAGAACCAGATGGTTGACAAAAAATGGATCATAGATTTTAATGCAAAATCATATGCTTCCTGGACACCATTTTGCATGCAAAGTACTAGGAAAAAAAAAAAAAAAAAAAGGAGACAGATATATAAAAACTGAGCAATATGGAATTCATACATCTGTTTTACAATGTAAAGCATAGGCAAAAATAAAAACAAGATTGCAATGAATTTTAAATTTAAAAAAATTAATTTAAAAACTCCTTTAGAAGATCCCTGATTCCCTAATATAGTGGAAGAGTGTTTGCTATGATTACAGATATACCAAGTTTTTCAATAAGAAAAAATTCAATTAAAATCTTGTATCCTACAACCTAAGTTCTCTAATGACACTGTACCTTGAAATGGCAAATTGCAGATTTCTTGAACTTACATTATTAAGTGATGAAAACCAAGACAAAGTCATATAATGTGTATATAGGAACATATAATTTGTTAGCAGCCATTTGATTTTACAGCATCCATTTGTCATTTACTTTGTAATAAACCAGTTTTCATATCCTTTACATAAGTCTAWGCTCACATCTTGTTATGTTTTTGATAAAGGACAGGCATCAAGATATTTATACATAAGATGGCTTTTGTTTATTAAAAAGACACCCTAAAATTTTTGAATTGGCATTCATGTATCTTGGAATTTTAGATTTCAAAATACTCATGTATAGTATCAATCATTTCTACCATTTCGTAACACCATGCCTTAACTCAAAATGCTGAAATTACTTCTTTAAAGCTACTGTCACAATCTTCCTAGCATCACTCAGTTCATGATTCAGCCTGTTTTCACCTCATTACACAATACCTATTTCCTCATATCAGGTTTTTTTAAACCAGGACCCAAAGAAACCTTCCATGTCACAGACAACTATTCTGTCTATTCAGAAAACAAGTATGTATTGTCTTCATGAAGATATTATGAGTCTCTACTGGAAGAGCAACCACATTACTGTTTCACAATCCTGTTGGAGTTTTTTTTTTTTTTTTCTGGAAATACTGAAGTTTAAAATAGACATATTTGAAAATAACTACAAAATTAATCAATGATAAGACTTTTAGGGGAAGTAGCATAAACTCTCTGCAAAAAGTCTGGAATGCAGGGTTAGCTGTATACTCCTGTGGATTATGCCATCTGTGTCACAGAATACCACCTTCTCCCTTGAAGGGATCCCTGACATTCCTTCCCCTTGGGGCACTTACAGCCTCAGTCCAAAAGGATTCATTCTTCCTTGTATTCACACGCAATTCATCTGAGATTAACTTTGCTACAAGTAGGTGTATAATTGCAACTGTATTTTTCCTGACTGTTAAAGAAACATATATTAATATTCATACTCAGGTCTGACCATAATTACAACAGTTAATGACATTTGAAAAGCCTTGCTCTACAAAATTGGCTTGAACATTCAGCTTAACACCCATTGAAAAGGTATCTTAAAGAAAATTATTTCCTAGGTTTCACCCACTAGATGAAAATCACTGATGAAACCTGATCAGAAAATACACCTGCAGAGTTTGATCTCTTAGAGAAGCTCCACATGATTTTCCCTCAGAAGTGCTACAGTCTAAGAAAAAAGTAATTGAGCTAAGGTCTAAGTTTGGAAGTACACAGCAGGAAAGTCYGCCTTGTATGTGCTGATGATCTCACTCTTGAAATAGAAGAGATGGAAATCAATGTAATCATCGCTCCTTTTGCTCAATCAATCACCACCTTACTAAGTTGCCTGGACAGAATAGCTCAACTTTTAATAATAATGTAGGGCACAAAAGTTAAAAAGTTCCCGTCCGGGTAAGAAAAAGAGCATGTGTGAATTCTACCAAGAATCCCCCTTCTTTTTCTCCTGAAATGGGATTTTCATGCACATTCCTCCATTTGAAATTTCAGTTACATGACAAGTATCAGACTGAAAATGGTCCCTTTCTTCCTCTTCCTCTGACACAGGTAATTTCCAGCTACTGTTTCTGTTCAGCTTTGTGTACCCACGCTTCAGTGGTTCACAGCCTACATGAAAAATTGCTTACTTAAAAATAAATAAATTACTATTTTTATTCCAAAAAGTGTTTGATTTTTTTTTGTCCCACTATTCAAAATAAGGGCTACTGAATATGGTAGCCAAAGAGTTGAAATAACACAAAATGGGAGCAAAAAAGCTTCTCAATCAGTTCTGCCACTGGAGAGAAAAGCCATCATACAGCACAATGGCTTGCAGGCTTGGAAAAGGACTTGCCAAATTCATAGTAAATTTCAGACTCCACAAACATTACTGCTCTCTTATGTACATTTGGACAAACTCCAAAGTAACTGAGCAGAAATGGAGCTTTTGGACAGAGGTTTGCTACATTTGAGCACCTAATGTTGGTAATTAGGTAATTACTCCTATATTGGTAATTACGTTTGAGAACAGAAATAAAGCTCAAAAGTACTAAGCTAGTTCAGATTCAGCTTCAGTGGGATATACTGTCCACAAGCACAATCTGAAATAAGGTCTATTTCTATTAAAAAGCTTAAATATAGCTTTAAGAAGACTTGAGTCCTYAAAAGTTCAGATACCTAAATTTTGTATTTCATACTTTTATTTATCATTCTGCCCTTACACATTACATTTGTTTTTATTCAGCTGTAACCAAGAAATATCTCAATGCCATATACCATTAACTATCCTAAAAAGACCATTTACAATAGAAGAGATACATACAATATGCGTTTTCAAAACTGATAATATCAGTGCCATAGGGTATCTTGAACTCAAAGTTAACACATAAGTATGACTGTGCTATAACAATCTTCCAAGAACCACTGATTTCTCCTATTATTAATTTTTTCTTCTTTCTACCCAAAGTAGTTTTGATCAAAAACTTTTCTTTTTTGATCAAAGACTTTTCTTATTATTACACACACACTTCCAGCACCCCAAAATTCCACTTACAAACTAATTCAGAGGGGTAAAGAGCAAAAATACATTGTTCCCCTTGCTTTTGAACAATGGGAAATACCCATTCCTAAAGTAAATGCAAGCCAGAGGACCTTCCAATAAATTGTTCGCCAGAGAAGTTGTTGTGGTAGATCAAGATAATTAGCTATTTATTAGTTCAAGAATGGAGCAGGTACTCCCATTGCTTAACATTCAGTGCTTCACATTAAATATAAATCAAAATATTTCACAGTTGTTGAATATGACACCAAGTTGTTCACAGAATATTTTTTTTTCTGTGTTTACCTGCCAGATTTTCCACTGCCAGGATGCATAGGAGTCTCTGACCAACTTATATTTGATATGCTGCAATAATTTGCTTTCTTTCATGTTTATAGACAAAACCAAAGAATAAGGCTGAATGACCAGACCACCTTTTAAACTCAGGAGCTTTTCTTCCAAAACCACAAAAGATACATGAGGCATATTCATTAGATTATTATATGAGCACTGTACACACCAGCCTTTGAGTGGCATTGTGAAAAAGACACATTGCTCTGAAGAGGTTATTTTAAGAGCTTTAAGTGCAGTAAGATATTAACAGGTCCTCCATTTCCAAGTTGTATTAAGAAAAAAATCAACCTAATTTAAGAGGAATAATATGCTGAATCCAAACTTGAAAGTTGCACAAGCAGCCACAGCTACCCATAACTCCACAGGTACAAAAATATCCAGCTTGCTTTCTAAATCTGAGTATGTCGCCGCATAACTGAGGAAAGACTTAGAGTTAAGACCGTAACAACTGACCAATCATAGGTTCATTATTGCCACACTATCACTCTGACTTTCAGGTTTTCCTGCCTTTACACACGCAGTACAGCTGTGTATAACTTTTTCAGAATTATACTTCAAGGGTCAAGATTGCTGGTAACTCAATGAGAGAAAAAAGTAACCACTGAAGAGATGATAAATTTCAAATAAATATACTGTTATATGATGACTTTCATTAATTCCACATTATGCAGCTCTGTATATTTGATTGTCCCTTGAAACAACAGCTCAAGAATTCTTGAAAATGGCTTCACTTCACACTTTTTTCCTAAGATGGCTTTTTATCATGGAAGATTTACCAGCATTTTTCGACAGACAACACAGAGCATGATGTTGCCTGTAGGTTTGCTCTTCTCTTGATAAGACACAAATCCCAGAATTATAGCTGAAAACAGAACTAAATCAGAACCAAAACAACACAGTCGTATTTATTGTCTTTTTCAAAAGCTAGTATTGATGCTATGATCAGTAATCCAGATAAAAATCTTTGTTAGCAAGTCACTTACCATATTTATTGATGATACAGGACCAATGCTGTTGACATAAATGTCAACATCAATAACTGTTGGTTTTACTGTGGAGAAAAAAAAAATAAATTATTTTGTAGACAACAAAAAWAATCACTTTAAATACTTCCTTTCCCCATGACCATAAGGTCTTCTTTTCTGGGTGCAACTACTGAGAAATATGGGTTAGGTATTTTTCAGGAAGACAAGGTTCAACCCCCCCTACCCAACAAAAAATTTTGCCACARATTAAAACTTGTACCACTTCATCATCATGATGCCCATTTGTCTCAGCAGCAATTTTTTAAAGAACTTTCAGTGCTAGGCACAGTATCTCGAAGTCGAAACCTAATATGTCTGACATGAAAGTATAAATAATGCAGCATATTGCTTTTTCCCTTTGCCTCAACATGCAGGTCCTTTAGCCTGTTTGTTCCACATCAAAACAATCTTTCCAGATTTTTGCATCTCATCAGCTCTGAAATCATCCTAACTTAAGAGTTAAATCTCTATGAAATCTGATTAGCTAAACCTAAGCAACTGTTCTTTCAATTTAGAATCATTCCCTTCAGTCCTCATTGCCTTTGCACTCTTTCATCCAAAGGCTTTTGAATTTGATTTKGTTTAGTCAATACACATTTCTCACAAGACCTTCTGTGTTTTCAGACTTCCAGGCCTCAATAAGCCAAGACAAGCTCTGTACTCCTTTCTTTTGCTGAGGCCACCAGGACTTACCTTTCTTTCAGCATCTTTGGTGTCAGTGTGCCTGATGGACATTATTCAGCTCCCTTTTATTAGTGACATAACCTAACTCTAAAATAATGCCACTCTTACATTGAAAGGCATATTAATTTTTTCACTTATACTGCCGTTCTTACAACCCCACAGAGTATACATTAAGCTCTAAATTGATATCTAAATTAGTAGCTTACTTTCTCCAGGGTTAGCTGACTCAAAACTAAGTATATAAATGCTGTTTTAACCTACATAGTGAGAATTGATGTGAACTTGTCCCCAGTAGCCCAACAGCATCTATATGAACATCTTTCTTTCCCACAGAAGCACCTTCTCCCCTCCATGGTTTTTGAAAATCTCAAGAGAGTATTCAAACCACTGGTGTTTGGGAACAGTGTTGGACTTGGACTTTTTTTTACTMACCCCCAAGCCTCCTCGAATGAGGAAATGCATGCGTATCAGCCATTCAAAACTCAGGAAGCTTTCCTCTGGGAAGCTACTGAGAAGTGAGGAAGTTAAACACCAGGGTTCTGTTGGAAGCTTATCTCTGTAAGTATCAGTCAACTGGTCTAAAGCCATCTGTCACAAAGCTAAAGAGAGACAAGAATCTTCACATGTAAAGATTAATATTTTTTTGCCTGCATCCCCCAAATTCCTGGCTAACAATGAGATGCCAAGTGATTTTAAAGTACTTGAAAATTTAGATGGTTATAAAAAAAAAAAAAAAACAAACAGGTATGCTAGCTTGCCCTGTAAGACTCTGGTACGAACATATCATGAGGAAGACTATAACCCCTGCTGCAAAAAACAGACATTAAACTGGGTACAAACAGTGGTTAAAGATGATAACCATTCTCTTTAATTCATTAAGTAATACATATGTCTTGACTGCATATGGTCAGAGCACCCAGGATTATTCGAGGTCATGGTTTCAAACAGTCTGAAGTACTGCCTGATATCTCCCCTTCAGCAAAAGAAAATGTGAATTCAGCTGAACAAGCTCAGCTGATTAAAGCAATCCTAATTGTACCCAGCTAATAACAAAATAGGAGTCTAGCAGCTTCTGGTAATGAGTTGCCTCAAAATGCAATAATAAATGTCATTACACGGGAATTGGTAATAGTGAGGAACTACAGCTAGCTCTTCCACCAGAATAGCATATATGGAATAAAGAGGCTCTAATCTTTCTAGGGTTTATGCACATGTCTGGCTGGAAGCTCAATGCTAAGGAGTTCTGGTGAACGTTAATGGCACTAGACTTAAGGACGCAAATTAGCAYGCAATTGAATCTTGGCAGGATCAGGGACAAAACTCAGGACCAGAACAGTTTGCTCRAAATCAGGTTTTGTTTAATCATTGCAGTTAAGTATATAAATAGAATATGAGGTGATAATTTCTCCGGAATCTGCTGGACCAAATTCTCTTATGGTGCAAAAAAAAAAAAAAAAAATTAAGCACTGCTTGTTAATGCTAAAGAGAATTTGATCTTCCTCACAGTAAAGGTCTAACTTTGAATAGAACACTAGACAACAGTCAGTTATTGTATCGGACATTCCCAGTGAAATTCAAATCAAAAATAATAAAGAAATATAGGTAAGCTATTATACTAGTACAATTTTTTTTTTTAAACAATGAAAGTTTCTTCGAATTATTTTGGTTTATTTTCCTAGGCAAAGGTAGAAAATAGAATTGTAGTTCAATTGTATGATAAACATGTGTTCAGGWTTTGAAATAAACGACAGAAGAGCATAGTTCTTGTTGTGGTCTCTCATGGGTATAAACACATGTAAAGATGATAAATGATATAAATGATAATCAGGTATAAATTTTAGCTTTACCATCCTAAGTTTTTAAATTCAAAACACCAACCAAAATAAGGTAAGATTTTAAGATTATTTCCTCCAAAATGCATTATGAAAAAGGAAATAACTGAGTCTTAAAGTTATCACATCTTATTTGAAAGAACTCACCCTACAATGCTCTTCAAAATAAACTGAGTTTCATGGAAAGGCATAAATAGCTACATTATGAGGAAGGTTGGACCAGATGATCCGCAGTGTTCCCTTCCAACCCTTCTGTGATTCTGCAATTTCAATGCCTTCTCAGTTTTTCTGTATACTCCATGGATTTGTGAACACTCATTTCCTGAAGGAATTCAAGCTACACATGGAGTCGCTGAGCTGSAGATGGAGCTTTTTTTCCTTGCACTAGAAAAGTTGTCACAGTGTTGTTGACAGAACAACAAAAGTGCTAATACCTCACTAAAAGTTGACAATAAGATTAAAAATGGATACTCAGCTCCAGTACTGTTTTGATGTTAGCATAAACCTAAGGTAGTTCTAAAGAGCTGTCAGAAACTTAGAAAAATTACTGGCAGAACCATGTGTGTACAACATGCAAGAGAGCAATTAAAGTTTGTCAACAAATGTACCAGCCTTCTCAAAGTTCTYTGAAATACAATTTAATATATGGCAGTAATTTTCACAAAAAGACAATGTGAGCACATCCAAGTAATTGCCGTGTTACATTGCTACACCATGCTGCCTAGGGTAAGCTAGCTGTTTGTCACAGTCATTTAATCTTCAAATCTGCTGGTTTTAATTGAGGAGGGGATTTATAAAGCAAATCAAAATATTTTTAAACAGAACTAAGGTAATCTGATCCAAATGCCCTGGCTTTGAGACACTGTTTATATTGCAGTCAGCTTTGTAACTATCACATTGCAAAGACACTACTAAGTGGAGGTTACCTACAAACTTTAGACAGTTCAGAACATACCTGGCCACGGCAACCAAAGCTCAATACTGCCTGCAAAGCTCACCTACAAAAAYAGGTGAATACCTAGACAGTTAGGGCAAAGCTTTGTCTGGACAACGAGACACAGAAACAGCTAGAATAATGCCCTCATCATAAACATACATTCAGGACAACCATAGGATTCATCTAGTCCAGCTTTATGGACTTACACTGGTGAAAAAAACTAGCACCTGAGCTTGAATCCCATTRACATCCATGAAGACATTACTATTGGACATACATGAGTTGATCAAATGTATTAAAAACCCAACAGATAAATCAGGATAATTTTAAAAGGCTCTTGAGTACATCAAAAGAGGGAACGTTATACAATTTCATGTCATGTAGGGGAAAAAATCTAAAAAAATTTCCTGTCATTTTAATTTGCTTATTTACTACTCTAAATTATCTTGTCTTTTTAAAATACCTCTTAATTTTTGATAGATCTCTGCTATTCAGAACTGATGCTTATTTCATGAATGAAACCACTTTTCTTCCTTCAGAAAGCTTCCTCCACATTTGAAGTCTGTCCAAATAGCACTAATGTTCCTGCACAAATCATAAATATTTAGAAATATTTTTGAAATTTTAATATTGAGAAATATTTTTTACAAGCTCAATTAAACAGAGTATGTCTAACTGAGCTCTCATAAATTTTGTAATAACATGTTTTGTTGTTGAGAGTTAACCTTCCTTGCATTGTTCAACCAACTCCCAGGTTTATTCTGGTTTTACCAGAAACAACAGTGATAAATATTATAGATCAATACACACACATTTATAGAAGCAAAGCAACTAGAACTAGATTTTTAGAAGGCACACAAATACATCACAAACACAATATGATCATCTCTGTTCCAGAACTACACAGCCACTTGAATTCTGCCCAGATTTCACAAGACTTCTGAATGCAAATGGCTAACAAGATTGTCTCTGCAGTAATGAGATATTTTTTTTAATATTGCTCTATAATGATATTTTACATTCTCTCATTACCACATAAATTGCTATTTTTAAATTGGGACAAAGCTGTGATAAATCATTACAGTTATTGGTAACTGTAACAGTAGTGATTATAGTGTTCATTTTTATTTTGCATTAGTGACAATGACTGTTCCTATTTTCCTACATGACCTTATAGGCAACATCTCTTTACCTAGTTATTCCTATAAAACAAACTACTGTGCTAACAAGTCACTTCTCAAGACTAACTACAGTCAGCTAAAACATCTTAATTTTACAACAAATTACCACAGATTATTTGAAGAAAGATCTGGTAACAGGAAATGTTAAGTCACCATCCCTGAAGGTATTTAAAAGCTAAGTGGATGTGTCACTTAAGGACATGATTTAGTGGTGGACTTGGCAGTGTTAGGTTTAAGAGCTGGACTCAAAATTCTTAAGAATCTTTTCCAACCTAAATTATTCGAGATCCTCTTCTATGATGCTATGAAGATACCAGTGAGAAAAATTGAAAACACTCATTCTTCCTGCATGGCTTGAAAATAGATAGATGCCAAAGTCCTCCACTTGCTAC